TTAGGTGTTGGTTGCTATCAGGCGAAGGAGGAAGGCTTGGTGTTTAGGCGTAGGCGGGAGGGGAGGGGCGTAGGCGGCGGGCTTGGGTGCAGGATAGGCGGCCTCGCCCTCGTAGGCCACGTTAGCGACGTATCCACTGTGGTGGTCGGCGGTGAAGGTGACGATCTGGGTGCGACCGTCGGGGAGGAGGACGCGGTAGGATCCCGAGGTGACCTTGCCGTCGCTGGTCTCGTCGTGGGCGAAGTCGTTGCCGGTGTAGTCGTCCTTGACGGCGTAGGCGAAGTCGAAGGGCATGCCAGGCTCCTTGTAGGCGGGGGCCCGTAGGAAGGAGGGGCATCGGGGCGGGGGGCGGCGCAGGCCACAGCCACGAGGGCGAACAGGACGAAGAGCTGAAATAAAAACTGCAGGGCTTAAAAAACAATGTTCGTTGTCTGTCACTCTGCTATATAGAAGGATAAGCGAAATAGCTAGCAAGAGAAGTATGTAGCAAGAACTACCGAACTCTGCTTCAACCACTGCCGAGACCACTTTCGCTAATGGCAGAGGTCCTCTTACGAAACCGGGTCGATGACACACGAGAACCTTACCTTGACTGACATTGTAAGCGGCGGAGAGAGTACTGAGCGATGAGGGAAGAAGCCGCTTTATATATGCTTTGGAAACCACATTCTCCTTTCGGCGATTTCACTGACGGCCGCTGTGGTTGGCAAAGCGCTGCTCACGAAAACCACGCGGAACCGAACAAATGAAGACTGTAAAATGGGGCATTTACCCCCCTCCCCCTCCCCTATATATTTCGATGAGGTCATGACACAGACCAAAGATCAAGGAGGTAACATGGAAACCAAACAAAAAGAACAGTTGCTTTGTGATGCTTCATCCATATTTTTTTTGCAAATTACCGACAGGTAATGAAAGCGATGAAATGAGTACCGAAAACGAAAGTGGTATAGTTGCACAACGAAGATCCAAAACAAATGCTTGTCCTTGGTGAAAAAAACGTCGAGTAATGTTATCTTCACAGATTCATTACTCCTTAGATTTCAATGAACCACATATAATTATCTTAGTAACTTCAGGGTTGATAGGACTTTGAGATATGGTAGATTATGCATGTACTGGCGTGATAATTTAACTGTTTGCCAGTCTGTACAATTTTGTGCGTGTGTGTCTGTTTGTCTTTAATACATATCAATAACATCCAGGGAAATGCATATTTACCAAAAATACATATGATTAAAAGGATATTTCTGTTATCAGATTTACATAAATCTGACAGAAAAATAACATGCCAATATATCAATAATGCTGATGTTGGTAGTAACATTGATAAAAATGATAATGCTAAAAATTATAATGATTGTAGTAATAATAATGATAATAATAATGATAATAACAATGGTGATTATAATGATAGTGATGAAATGATAATGATAATGATAATGATAACAATTATGACGATAATAATAATGATAACAGTAATGATAATGATATTAACAAGTAATAATAAAGATGGTAATACTAATGATACTCATTATAATTATAATAATGATAAAAGTCAAATAATTACAATAAAATGATAATAATGGTAATGATAACGATGAAAATAATAATAATAATAATGATAATGATAATAATAATGATAATAATGATAGTGATAATAATGATAATGATAATAATAATGATAATAATAATGATAGTAATAATAATAGTAATGATAATAACTATAATAATGATACTAGTAATAATAATGATAATGATAATAACAATAGTAATAATGATAATAATGATGAAAATAATGATGGTAATAATGATAATTTTAGTAAAATAATAATAATAATAATAATGATAATAAGAATAAGAATAATAATTATTATTATCATGATTATTATTATTATTATTATTATTATTATTATTATTATTATTATTATTATTATTATTATTATTATTATTATTATCATGATTATTATTATCATGATTATTATTATTATTATTATTATTATTATTATTATTATTATTATTATTATTATTATTATTATTATTATTATTAATATTATTATTATTATTATCATTATTACTATTATCATCATCATCATCATCATTATAATGATAATAATAATAATAATGATAATAATGATAGCAATAATAATAATAATAATGTCAATAATAATAATGATAACAACAACATCAATAATAATGTTATTGATGGAAGTAATAGTAACAATAAAAATGATAAGGATAATACTGATAATCATAATAATAATGATAATAACAATAGTATAAATGATAATAACAATGATCATTAGAAGAATAAAATAGCTACGATAATAAATGGTTATAGGTAATGATAATAGTAATATGGTTAATAATGACAATAATAATAACATAATGCTAAAAATGGTGATAATACTTTAATAATGATAATAATGATGATAATAAAAAATATGGTAAAAACAATAATAATAATAATGATGATAAAGATAGCAATACTAATAATAATGGTAATAATAATGATATTATCATTGATAATAAATCAATAATGATGATCATAATTATGAAAAAATAATAATCATAATAGTAATATTGATAATAACTAATAATAATAGTAATGATGACAATGATAATAACTAATAATAATAGTAATAATAACAATGATAATAATAATAGTAATGATAATAATGATAATAATGATAAATATAATAATAATAATAGCAATAATAAATAATAATGATGATGATGATAATAATGGGAATGAAAATTATAATGATAATGATTGTAATAATACCATTATTATTTTCATTGTTATCATTATCATTATCATCATTCATATAATTACCAAGATAATTATAAATAATTGTTACTGTTATAATTTTTATTATCATTATTGCTTTTGTTGTTATTGTTATCATTTTTCTAATAATATACCCTATTATTTCTATAGATCTTATTTTTTTCTCATAATCATTATTGTCACTGTTGTTATTATCATTATCATTAATATTCTAATAGCTATTATTGTCATTATTTAATATCATTATTCCTATTATTAACATCGTTATTGTTTTTATTACCATTTTAAATATAATTATTGATGTTATTATCATTGTTATCATATTTGTTATTATTATCATTAATATCATTATCATCATTATCATGATAATTGTCATTACTGTTGTGATTGTCATCATCATTATAGTCCTCATTATTGTTATTATCACCATTATTATTGCTAATATCATCATCATTACTCTTTGTCATTGTAGTTATCATTGTTATCATTCTTATTATCATTATTATCATCTGTGTTGCTTTTGTCGTCATTAATATCATCATTATTTTTATCATCATTATTACTGTTATCATTTTTATAATCCTTATTGATCGTTATCATCATTATTACCATTATTATTTTCCTTTTAGTAGTTGAACAGAGGCGCGTCTTAGTCTAACTCGTGGTGACGCATCACGGTCCGGATCCAGGAATTTTTTTCAACGATCGCGTCAGCTGCTCGTGTCGCCTCTGCCATTGCCTTCTTTACCTTCATCGCCTCGCCCAAGGAGGTCGCGTTTACGGACGTCATCTGTGTGCTTTAGAATTGTTGATTTGGATGTAATTCGTGTGAATAATTTTATTGCATCAGTGACCCTATTGCCTTGGCGGAGGTATGCGCTCTCTGAGTGCTTCTATACTTGCTATTGTTTTTATTATTACCATTATCATGATTATCATTATCATTATCATTGTCATTATTAGCATTATCATTACTAATATAAATATCATTATCATTACTATCGTTATTATATTTTTATTGTAATTTCTATCGTTATATACATAATATTTTTACTTGTAGTAGTAGCAGTAGTAGTATCATTATCATTATCATTAATATTTTCATTATTGATGTTATCATTACTATCATTATAACCTATATTAATAATTGTTGTTACGATTAATGCCATTATTATTACTATTGTTATGATAAATATAATTTGATCATTATTGTTATTGTCACCCTCACCATCATTACCATTACTATTGGCATTATTGTTATTATTATCATTTTGTCATATCGTAATTGTTTAATCATCATCATTATTAACATCAACATTATTGCTATTACGCTTAGTGCATAATTATCATCATCATTATTATTTATATTTCTTTTTTTGTAATTATCATCGCTATTATTATCATATTAATACTATTGATTATAATAACGATAAGGATGATAATTATGATAATAATAATGATAATCATAATCATAATAATGATAATCATAATAATGATAATAATAATAATAATAATAAAAATAATAATAATAATAATAATAATAATGATAATAATAATAATAATCATAATAATAATAATCATCATCATCATAATAATAATATAATAATTAATTAATAATAATAATAATGATAATAATAATAATAATAATAATAATAACAATAATAATAATAACAATAATAATAATAATAATAATAATAATAATAGTAATGATAATGATAATAATAATAATAATAATAATAATAATAATAATAATAATAATAATAATAATAATACAACAGTAATAGTAATAGTAATAATAATAATAGAAATATATCAATAATAATAATGATAATAATAATAATAATGATGATGATGAAAATAATGATGATGATGAAAATAATGATAATAGCATCATTATTATTATTCTATCACTGTTATTGTTTTTTTGTTTCTAATATAATTATCATTATCATTATTACGATCAATCTTGTTACTTTTACATTAATATTATCATTATTATCAATACTATCATTTCATCATTATTATTTTTGTTATCATCATCATTATTATTATTGTTATCTTCATCATCATTATTATCAGTATCAGTAGTGTTATCATTATCATTAGTGTTATCATTATCATTATCATTATTATCATTAGTGTTATCATTATCAGTAGTGTTATCATTATCAGTAGTGTTATCATTATCAGTAGTGTTATCATTATCATTATCAGTAGTGTTATCATTATCATTATCAGTAGTGTTATCATTATCATTATCATGTGCGTGTCCATATACAGTGTGTCACTGCTATCACTATTATCGGAATTGTTATTCTATTACTGACCAATACTATTACTGTTATTTTCGTAATTGTTACTGTATATCTTTATCATAATTTTTATGACTTTAAATAATTGTCAGTATTGCCATTGTTATAATTGTGATTAATGGTACTATTATTTGTACCATCAAAACTGCTGTTTTAGGTGTTATAATTAATTAGTTTCATTATCATGTCATTGTAAGAATTTCATTCCTCTCTTTTCTCGCCCTGCCGTCATTAGCATTTCCATGTTGCCATCACAGCTATTAGCGTTGTTATTTTTACCGCGGCGATCATGCTGCTACTCCTATTGGTTTTGTTCTTGCATTGCTGTTGTTTTATGATTCCCGTCGCGCGCCAGCATCACGGACCTTCTGCCCTTCGTCCGAGAACAAGTCCCGAGCCGCAGCCGGCAGGCACAACGCTACGGACCCGGGGAAGACCTATGGAAATTTGCGACGATGATTGCAATGGGCATCCACCCCAGTGGGCGCGTGGTATTGAAGGCCATGAAAGTAG